ACCGAACTGTTCACACAGAAGGGTTGCATACTTTGGGGGGACCGGGTTGTTATACCAGAGACTTTACAAAAAAAAGTACTAGCAATGCTGCACGAAGGGCACCCAGACATGGTCAAGATGAAAGCCCTGGCCAGAAGTTACGCTTGGTGGCCAGGGATGGACAAACAAATTGAGACATGGGTAGCCGGGTGCAAGAGGTGCCAAGAGACAAGGTCCACCACCCCCCCGCCGCCCCAGTCCTGGAATGGGAAACCCTCAGAGGCCCATGGTCGCGAATACATATAGACTTCGCCGGGCCAACCAAGGGACATACATTTCTCATCACCGTGGATGCTTACTCCAACTGGCTAGAAGTAAGCACCATGAGAACAACGATGACAGAAGCTGTCATAGATAAACTGAACAAACTTTTCGCGACACACGGGCTGCCAGATGTAATAGTGTCAGACAATGGCCCACAGTTCACGGCACTAGCCTTTGAAAAATACCTGGCCGAACGGGGAATCAGGCACGCGTTAACCTCGCCAGCTCACCCAGCGGCGAATGGACGGGCAGAACGGATGGTTCAATACACAAAAAAACCATCCAAAAAATAGAAACCGGCGACATACAAGAAAAAATAAATAGAATGCTACTCATACAACACATCACCCCCAACACAACTACAAACAAGAGCCCAGCAGAGCTACTCATGGGCAGAAAGCTAAGGTCCCCACTGGACCGGTTGCACCCTACGTACAACTCGGAAAAAACCCCAGGCTCGTCCAGTAGACACTGGACATTTAACACCGGAGACATCGTCTACGCGAAAAACTTCACCGGAGACCCACTCTAGGTGCCGGCACAAATAACCCAAGTAACGGGCCCCCGGTCATACCGACTACAAATCATGGACGGACGGAGCTGGAAGCAGCACATCGACCAGTTACGGTCAAGACTAGCCGCTGACAGCACCAACACCCCGCAAACAAACACTAAGGAAGAAACCGGGAAGGGGGGGGAAAACCCAAATGCCGAAGAGGGAAGGCCTAAAACGCAGGCAGAACACCCCCACCCAGGACAAGCCAAAAACAAACATTTAACTAGCCATACTCACCAGCAGACCTCGAACCGTTGCAGACGGGAGCTTCACCTGGAAGGAGCAGCCAAGCCAGCTCAACCAGCCCGGAGAGACCAGGCGGGAGCAGCGGAGCCGACAACTCGACCGACCCGGGTAGACCGGGTGGGAGCTGCAGCAATGGGCCCGGCTCACCATTCCAGGTGGTTCCATCGAGAAGCTTGGGAGCGACGCAGAACCCGCCCGAACCGCCCGACGACAAGACACCTACTGAAACACGCAAGTCAACTAGGCAAGTAAGAAGCCCTGCCTACCTGCGCGACTACGTCACACGCTACGTCGGACGAAACCAAGAGGGGAGGGGTGTTCTATATTAGCATTCTCCAAACCTCGAAATCCGATTGGTCCGCACGGGCTGCAATTTGATTGGTCAACTGAGCGGCCGTGATTGATGCGCTAAGAACCTCCCGCGATTGGCCAAGCCGATCGCGGGAGATTCAAAGCCCTGTCATTGGCCGCCGAGCCGCCGGCTGGCTCTATAAGAAAGCCGCGCCGAGCGCAGGTCCTGTACCTAACTGTATATTCTACAATAAAGAGCTGAATGTGCACTTTGAGTCTCGCATCTCCATGCAGCCCGATCTACTCGGGACCGAGCTACCCGAACCCGAATCTCCCAGATCTAACAGTGCTCATCTGAATAATGTCCCAAAGATGCTCTTTCAAAAGGCAACTGGTCTTTGCTTTTCCTTGAAGATGCCACACAAAACATCTTAAGTAAACCAAAGGACCTGTCAGTCTTGGAAGCCATATTTCACTTAGAAGTACCAGCACTTCACCTAGTAGTCCAATAAATAAAAACAGCAGTCTTTAAAATACATTGTAAGGACTGTAACAGCCACTACATAGGATAAAACAAGCCAAGAGTAGCAGAGTGAATCCATGAACACCAACCAGCAGTCAGAAGACACAATAAAAACTCCTTAATCTCACAATACCTGAACAGGCTCAACCATAGTTTCAAGTGGGATACTGTGAACATCCTAGACCAGTGGTTGCCAACTGGTGGGCCGTGGCCCACTGGTGATCCACGAGAAAATTTTGATGGTCCACAGAGAAATGTCACCCCCAAAGCAGCCCCCAAAGCAATTAATGCAGGCTACGCAGGAACACAAGGCTGCACTGCTTGCATTGTGAACAACACGAGGAAGTGAGGGGAGGGGGGAAAGGGCGGAGTGGGGGAACTTGCCCCACTCGCCTCACGTGCCTGGCCTGGCCACCGGGCTGCTTCTTTCTGCTACTTTCTTCTTCTGCTTTTGGCTGCGTGCAAGGAAAGCAGCAAAAGTCTTTCTTTCTCTCCCCCAAACTCCACCAGAAATGAGTCTTTGGGACCCTGCAAGGCATCCTGCTCTAAAAAGCTGCACCGGCAAAGACTCATTTCTGGTGGAGTTTGGGGGAGAGAAAAAAAGACTTCTGCTGCTTTCCTTGTATGAAACCAAATCTCTCTCTCTCTCTCTCTCTCTCTCCCTCCCTCTCCCTCTCCCTCTCCCTCTCCCTCTCTCCCTCTCTCCCACCAATGTCAGCAAGCCACCGTCAGTCAAAATTCATATTAGTGGTCCGCGAGATTTAAAATTATGAGTGTGGTGATCCCTGAGGTCCAAAAGGTTGGTGACCCCTGTCCTAGACCAAGCCAAATCCAAAAATACTAGGATATTCCTGGAAGATTGGCCAACAATAGACACATAGAAATAAAAAATATAGATAGCATTCGAAAAAGACATTTAAAAAGTTGAGAAGGAAACCCAAAGATTAGAACTTATCTCCTGTAGCAGGTAAGCACTCAGATAAACTGGGATTAACATTGAAGAAAAATCACATCCCTGACAGGGAAGCTACTATTCTGTACGTAAAACAAACAAACCCCCACACTTGCAACCACTGATAATGTTCTCTAGTCAGGTAATGAAATGTCTGCAAGCAAACAACCAAGTTTGAAGAGGATTCAATAGGTTTTGAATTTGCCAAAATTCTTTATATTCTCCCTCACTCAAAAGATGCTCATCTAGTTCAAGATATGAACCTGTTTTGTATCTCTCGAGCCTATGACTTTTATTTAGAGGTCCTTTAATTAAAGGATTTAAACTAACAAGTGGATACTGATGTACTTTTCCTTATCTTTCAGATAAAAACCTGCTGGGGGGGGGGGCTGTATGATAAATCCTTATCTGAAAGATAAACGCATCCACATGGAAGGCTTTATCGCTTAATTAAAACCTAGTATAATGAGCAATGAAGTTAATTGATTATTGAAGAAAGCTCTTCAAAAATATTCTGCTTTACTGTAGGATGAGAATCTGTTAGCTGTACTGTACTGTATAATATAATGATGTAGATTATACCTATATTCTTTTGTGAAAATGAACTAATTAATTAAAAACAAGGCTACAACTTACTATTGTCTGATAAATTAATCTGATGGCATGGCACGATAATCAATAGGACCTAGAGATAGGATGGTCTGAATCCATTAACACAACCCAAGGAGTCTAGGACCTTCCTTTCTCTGTTACCATAGAAGGAATAACAACTAACTCTATAAATAGAGTTCACAACTAGGCAAAACTAGACTACAATTGCAGTTATTTAAAATCACAAATAATGCAATAATCGAAAACATGGATATGATTTTCCCATTGCGAGTTAACAGATCCCACCACAGGTGAGAATACATGCACCCTAGATATCCTCTATTTCACTGCTTTCCCATGGATCAGAAAAATGAAGTTGATTAATTAATATGCATCCTTAATTGCTTTTCTGAAACACTTACTTAGATCCCAAGTTTAATCCTCAATTAACCTCATTTGAAAAGATGGCAACAGAATTTGAGGTTCAGATGACTCCAAAAATTTGTTTGTGATCACATTAAATCAGGGTTTAAGTATGGCTATTAAATAAACCCACAATTAGCCACATTTGCATAATATACTAGGTCATAAACCATGCTGTACAAACACCAAAATCAGGTTAGAGCTTGTAATAGGTATGATTACCAGATTGTACACACTAGTGATGTGTGGCCTAGATATTCATCCCTTTCTTCAAACTTTATCTTATCCTCTAACTTGTCTCTAATCATGAGCTAAGATATTGATTTTACATGCACCCATCATTTCATCAGCTGTTTTTCTAAAGGGCTAAAATCAGTGTCTTTCAACCTTGGCAACTTTTAAGATATGCAGACTTAAAACTCTTGTGTTTTTAATTAAAAAAAAACTTTTTAGAATTGCTCCCCACCCAGTCACTTAGCCAGTATCTGACTATTGTGGGAGAAAGCCACACAGCTTAAAAGTTGCTAAGGTCGAAAAACACTGGGTGTTTTTATGTGACTGTTTAGATATAACATAGTTTTGTCTACTATGTAAAGCAGCTTTTGTGGCCGATCAAAGTTTTCTTTATCATTCAGTGTGTGTGTGTTATGTGAATCCAGTTCACGGTTGGTTATTCAGCAACCAATGAGCCATTTTCAAGCTTGAAGAACAATTTATTTAGGCTTTCTCATTAGAGTAAAAGCCGCGTAGCGACAGACAGAACTCCAAAATATTTTCCCTCTGCTCCATTGGCAGAAAAGAAAAAGGGAAAAAAAACCTTCTCCAGCGGCTTCCTTCTAGTGCCTAGCCTCAGGCGCATGCGCCTCGCAATCCAGTTTTTTTTAAAAAATAAAATCAATAAAATAAACTCACTTGACCATAAAGTAAAGGGCAAGAGCGGCCCGTTTTACTCGGCTTATGCTAGAAGGCGTGGCGTCCCCTCTTCCCACCTCCCACTTTTCCCACCCTCATCTTGTCTCCAATGCTGCAGATTGGCCGAGCCGGCGACTCCACCGTCTTCCGCTCCGCTACGGAAACAAGCGGTCTTCCAATATCCCAGATTACAACGCGGCGCTAAAAGCGCCGCTCTTCGTCCGGCTCCTCCGCGTTCCCCTCAGCCAGCTGGACGCCATGTTGTTCTAGCTTTCCGCTCCGCGGCGGGTGGTCTGTGCTGGACGTGAGGAGCTCCCGGCGTCGGGAGAGGCAGGAGGGTTGCGGGCTTTTCGCGCCGCCGCGACCTGGCGAGATCCGACGCCATGGCAGCAGCCTTGGGAGGAGGAGGAGGAGCAGGAGCAGGTGCGGTATATCCCCTTCCCCGTCCTCCCGAGGCCAAGCGGGGAAAAGGGAGGGAGGGTTGGCGGCGGACCCGCGGGGAAGCCTCAAGGCCCCAGATTGGGTGCTGGACGCCCTCGGGGAGAGTGAGGAGAGAAGCAGCGGCTGGTCTCGTGGGTTGCAGGAGGAGGAGATGGCGCTGTTTGCGCCGCCTGCGTGCGGCGTTTGCTGGCTGGGCAAGACAGGCACCTCAGGCTTGTCTGAGAGGCCACCCGACTAAGGGGTTTTCAGGGGTTTGGGACACCTTTCAGGGGAAGAAGAAGCGGAGGGCCCGATCATGGGGGACGTTCCTAGCTCAAGGTTGACATGACGGGGCCCTTGGTGCTCCCTGAGCTTGGATGTTTTCTTGCAGACCTTTCCTTGCCCAGACTAGGTAACCTCATCGATGCTAATAAGGGCTTTCTTGGGGGGTGGAAAGGAAAAATGTGATGTCCCCAGTTTGATCTGGCAGTTCTCTAAAGGCTTAGGATTGCTGCGAGTGGGGCGGCGAGATCTTTGGGGTGGGGGGTTATAAAAGGAAGATAGAGGCACAGGATATATTAGGGCCCGTTTATTTCCCATTTCCTTCCATTTGCACTTGTTCTTGGGTGGGGTTTGCTTTCTTCCGTCCCGTTCTGATGCTTCTATGAGATACATTTAGATGGGATTGTTGACACCCGTGTGTCTTCCCATTGCTGCAAAGGGCCTTGATTAGTAAAGGAGTGTAAATGATGAACCTAGCCTTACTGCAGACGTTCTGTAGAATAGAGTACAGAATATAGTATAGAATAGAATATAGAATAGAATAGAATTCTTTATTGGCCAAGTGTGACTGGACACACAAGGAATCTGTCTTTGGTGCATAAGCTCTCAGTGTACATAAGAAAAAATAAAATTAAAATACATTCATCAAGAATCATAAGATACAATACTAATAAGCAGTCAAATCATACTAGAGAACAATAAGCAATATAAATTGTAAAGATACAAGCAACAAGATTATAGTCATAAGTTGGAAGAGATAGGGAATAGGAAGGATGAGAAGAATAATAGTAATACAGTCTTACTAAATAGTTTGAAAGTGTTATGGGAATTAGTTTAGCAGGGTGATGGCATTCCCAAATGACATTAATGTCTTCTGCTTTGAAAAAGTATATAAGTTGAACTTATTATGCTTATTGCTTTTTCAGCCTATTTATGTCTGCCCTATCTCAGTCTTGGCTTGGTTCTGGATATGTTCCTTACCTGACTGTATCCTTGCCTTGTGTCTTAAATAGTTGATACCATGTATAAAACTTATTATATATTAAGTTTGAATTTCTCATATGCTTTCTTGGATGTTTCTCTTCTGCCTAGTTTTATAAGTCACAATTTCTTTATGTTTGGTCCCAGAGCCTGCAATTCAGTGTTTTTGTAATGTTACCAAGGTTTAAATAACTTCCTAGTTGTGTGATTTCATTACTTACAGTATATATGAAAATTCCAAACTTTTGTGTTATAATAAAAGTGAAAGATAAATTCAAATTAATCATTTTTGTATCTACAGGTAGTCCTCAACTTACAACAGTTCATTTAGTGACCGTTCAAAGTTACAACAGCTCTGAAAATAGCGACTTAAGAACACTTCACATTTAGCATGTGATTTACATTCAGATGCTTGACAACTGAATCACATTTATGACAATTGCAGTGTCCCGGAGTCATGTGATTCCCTTTTGCAAATTTCTGACAAGCAAAGTGAATGGGAAAGCCAGATTCACTTAACAGCTGTGTTATTAATTTAAGAACTGCAGTGATTCACTTAATACATGGGGTGAGAAAAGTCATAAAATGGGGCAAAACTCACTTAATAAATTTTTCATATAGCAACTTAAATTTTGGGCTCAATTGTTGTAAGTTGATGACTATATTTACAAGTAAAGCTGATCATGTGGGAAGAGCCACAAGATACAATGGTTGAAGTCTTTGGTCTGATTCTCAGTTCAAATTTGCTGCAAAGTTTGTTTACTCATTTTGGATTGCCTCTAAATTTGTGGGCATACCCTTCTTTTCAGTGCATTGTTAATAATAAAGCATATAGGATAGTGATATGTTGCTGATCTGAGCATATACAGAATCAGTGCAATACCTGTAAATTGAATGAAAACAAAACATTTCTTTGTGAAACGCGGCATCTTGCAGGGAAAATATGCTTTTACTACAAAGCTTTGTTTTACAATTTGCTACTTATTGACATTATAGTCTAAGGTCACAGTTTTTGTGACAGTGTCTTGTTTTACTTGGATTTATGTATCCAAATTGATAGGCTATTTTCTTTGCTTAACCCTTACATCCCAGTTAAACAATTTGGGATTTTGGAGTGACAAAAGTACATTTATTTTTTGGAAAGGAACCTTCCCCCACACCTTTATACCTCTTCTCCACAAACTTTCATGGCATTTTTTTGTTTCCCATTATGAATGAAAAGAAAGAAGAGGATTGGTTCTGAAGAGGGCTGTCCTATAGCAAAGATTTTTATTCAAGGCTTTATTGTAGTTATAACTTATTTATGTCCCAATACAATATATACAGGTTGTTAACTGTTTGCTGACTCTTAACTTGCTTGTGCTTTGCTGGCATGAGGTGACACTCTGCCATGAATTATGGAGAAAGGGGAGGAAGGGGGCATGTGTGGGAGACCGAAAAAAGGTGCTGTACTGTTTCGAGAAGCTCTTCAAGGTCGCCAAGCTGGAAGGAGGGAGAAGCATACCAGAACTTGAACTGTCTGTTAGGAAAACAGCTTGCAAGATTTTAATTGGTTACCTTGGAGTGGGAAATGAAAGACGAGGGGGAAGCAAGAAAAAGTATAAGGTAAAGATTTTGACGTGCAAATCTCAGTTCTGGCTATGTATGACCTACAATACATTTGATCTGTAATAAAAATATACCTTTCTCAGCAGCTGGTCAAGGATTGTTTTCTACTTAGAAGTTAAAGTTTGTGGCAGTTCTAAAATTACCAGTATAAATTAGAAACAAATTTAATAACATTAAGTTGCATACTAAAATAGTCACAATATTTAAAAAAATATAAGTAACTATACTACCTAGATTAGAGTGACATTTTAGTAGCTAAGATTTAAGGGAGGAAGATAAGGTGCTATGCTATCTACTCATAGCTAGGCTGCTTGGACTGTTGAGTTTTACATCTTCCTTTTTAGGATTTAAAATATAATTACTACCTATATAATTATTCTATAAGTGCCTCCATTTATATAATAGAATACTTTATTTGTCCAAGAATGATTAGACACACAAGGAATTTGTTTAGGTGCAAAGCTGTCAGTATACATGCAAAACAACAGTTGTAATAATCATAATGATACCAATTATCATTGGAGGAGGTAGTAGAGCAGATGAGACAGATAGTAATAATACAGCCATACCACAGGGAAGTATAGTTAGGCAGCACATATGTTCACAATTTGTATTCTAAATAGATAAGATACCTAAGATAACTACTTTTGTAAGAATATTGATATCATAATATCTAGTGTTCTTGCAATTATATATTATTCAAGGAAGAAAAGGAACACATACTTAGAAAGGCTTCTCTGAAAAGAGATCTATATATCTTTAGATGACTATTCTGAATTGGTGGTTTTGGGGATTCCAGATTTGCCTAATAAAATGAGAGAATCAAATGGCAGGTATGCTTGCAACTGATGGAAGGTTTTTAGTTCACATGTCAAGACTGTGAAGTATGCTATATAAATATTAAAATATTGCTTGAACTTGAAAGACCTATCTTCTAGTAGTCTAAACCACTTCCTGATTAATTAAGCCTAATTGTCAGTTGATATAAGATGCTTTGGAAACTTGTTATAAGATACAATACTGTATAGTAGACTGTCTATAGTAGTAAGGTAAGAGAGGATATTGGAAACTCTTCTGCAAATATTTAAAGTTCTTGCAGTTTGAATTGTTCTGGTCATAGGTGACCTGGCTAGTTTTATTTCTTCTTTGCATTCTTATGTCCATACTTGAGCCTTAAAATGCAAAGTATGGTGAAAAATCTTTTAGAGAACAATTCCAGTATATGTTAGTGGAAAATCTGGAAATCTAGTATTGTTAATGCAAGAGGAACTTGGATGGTCGAAATCATTAAATATTGGACTGTGATCCTTAGATGCTTCTAATTACAGTATTGTTTTGTGTATTTATTATCAGGTGTCAGAGCTTCATTATCAGGTATCCTTTCCCCTTCAAACAAATTGTGCCATTTAAATTCTTTTCTTGAACTAAACAGCTGTTGGATTTCGAATTTGAATATTTGGTAGTGTACTAAATTGTGTTTTAGAGAACTTTTATTAAGTAGAATATGATAAATGAATTTGGCTTGTTTATCACAATACTATTTGCATATGATTTAGCTATTTAAAGTACGTATGAACTGCTAAACCTAGAAACTCATTTAAAATGAGTATACTGTGTTATAACAGATCAAATGTTGATTTGGTCCAGCATCTTTTTTAGATCTCCCCCTCCCCCACTGACTGGCCATCTATGTCTGAGAGGTCCAGAAGCAGAATTTGAGGACACATTAATCTATTTGGTTTATGTTCTTCAGCAACTAATACTTATGATAATATTGCATTCAAAACTGCAGAAAATATATTTCCATCAGGTTTAATAGCCATTAGTAGTTTTATTTTCCATGAATTTGCCCAGCCTGTTTTACATGTTTATGGTATTGTCCCAACTTAAGGAAGTACATTCTGTAGTTAAACGCAAAGCTTCCTTTTGCCAGTTGACAGTGTGCCATATTCAGTTTCTTTCAGTATTTTAGAGGTTTTAGCGTAAAAGAGAGCAGAAGTCTTCATTCTATACATTTTCTTTTATTAAATTATGGGAGTTATATTTCAGCATACAGGGAGGACATCAGCTAAAGAAAACTGACATGTTATATTCCTACCTTCCTTTCTCTTTTTGAAAGTATGGAACAGAAACATTGTTAAGAGTTGTTATGAATGCTTAAATCTATTGGTTAAGTATATATTCCAATATTATAGAAGACATTGCATAAATTCCATGTGCATAAATGAATAATACAAGAAGTGAGTAACTTAGGTTTCTGTAAACATTTATTTTGCATAATTTGTATGCCACATTTCATTTTATGCAGCCTACAGCAGTAAGTCATAATGACCTGACATAGGTAATCTTATTACCTTTCCTTGAAGGCCCAAAGTATAATATTCTTCTGCTTTTGGAATCCAATAAAGGAAGGAACTGTTCTGATTTTGGGGAGACAGGAACAAGGAATTCCAAAAGAAACCTGTTTGGTACTGCCCTCATCTAAAACCTTGGTGGGGAGAGTTAGTTTCATTAATCACTGGCATCCTCACCTCAACAGAATCCACAGACCAGAGAAATTCTACTTCAGGAACAGTCCTGAAGACCCCAAGTCATAAAGGGCTTCATAAGCAATGATCAGCATATAGAATTGTACTCAGAAGTGTAGTGATATCTAGTGCGGTTCCTGCAAGGTGGAGAACATTTGGTTAATCTGACATTGGCCCCATCAGCAGCTGGGCTGCTGCAATTTGAATCAGTTGCAATTTCTGAATAGATTCCACAGGAACTAATTTGTTAATTGTAATATACTGAGAGTATAAGTGATAGCAGAATATCTTATTTCAGAATCTATTGCTGGACAAAGAATCTCCTGGCTATGGCCTGCACTAGCTCTACAGTTGAAGACATGAGTCCAGGAAAAAACCTACTCAGATCTTCTAGCACAGTAGCCGCAACCTTTTGGGCACCAGGGACTGGTTCTGTGGAGAAAGGTTTTTCCGCAGACCAGAGAAGGTGTGGTTTTGTGTGCTGCTTGCATCCCACAGATGGGGCTTCTTCACTTGTTTCTGTGGCAGGGTTTCTGGCATGCTGAGGCTCAGTACTGGTCCATGGACTGGAGGTTTGGGGACTCCTGTTCTAGCAGTTCCTTCCAAATAATTGCAACTGCATCTCTTATCATTCAATGATGGAATTATCTTGAATTCAAGGGACTTCTAGATAAACAAAGGCTACATTTTGCTGAGATTTAATTTGGTTTCATATATAGGATTGTAGTGTAAAATAGATTTTTGAATGATAATTAGGCAAATAATTCGTTGAAGCTTTTTAGTGAACATCATTTAGATCAGGCCTGTCAGACTGATGGCCTGCACAGGCCATCTCCGCAAAGGCAAAAAGCATCCCGATTGGATTTGACACCCTTGATCTAGATGAGATATGTACTGAAAATACTCATTGTGAATGCCTGTTGATGCTACATAATGAATCCAGAGCTTCCAGTAGATACTAGAATTTTAAAAAGGAATTCCTATATGAGGGATAAGCAACCTAGATTATTTTGGACTACAGTTTATATAATTTTTAATAATTGGCTATATGGGATGAACTTGTTATCTTGATTATCCAGATGAATCAAATTACTTATCTTCTCCTGAAGAGTCAGATCTGGTCCGGAGATACTGGATAGTCAGAGCCTTGTAAGAATCACCTTAAATTTTTAAACCTTTTGTTGCACATGCCAGTCTATAGTATTCGCTGTTCATTTTCATTAAAGCAACTTTCTTACAAAAGTTGATACCCAGCAGTACTTCTTGCTAAAAAAAATGATTAAAGCAATTTTAAAGTTGTTTTCCTACAAGGACAGTGCAGAAACCCAGCATTGCTTATTTTATTATTAAATTTATATGCCGCCTAACTCTCCTATAGGGTGACTCTAGCCATGATTCTTCAAAATAATATCAGTACTGTTGTCTGAGAATCCAAGCATTTGTTTCATATTGTTCAAATTATCAAATGTCTTTTGTTTATAGAAGATGACTTTGATCGTCATAAACCTGGTGCAGAAAGATCTTGGAGAAGGAGAACGGGAGATGATGATTGGGATAGGTAAGCCTATCTTTTATGCAGAGATGTTTTCTACTATGTGTCATTTGTTTCTCTCTTTCACAGTTTTAATTTACAGGATTTTGAAAATGTTCAAATACAGACATTAATGTGTTTATCTGCTATGTGCATAACTGTTGCTTAGTTGTAGAGATATGTATGTCTGCTATGAAGAACAGACAGTGGGCAGGGGCCACTTTCTTTAACCAGAGTTGCATTTTACTGTGGAATACATGGGGGGAATTAATGGACCTAAAAAACTGAGCAATTAATTACATTTTTTTCCTGTCTGCTGTGTTTCCCCGAAAATACGACCTACCCCGAAAGTAAGTCCTAGCTTGGTTTTTACACCTCCCCCCCAAAATAAGTCCTAATTAAAACCCCGCCCATTCCAGGGTGCATGGGTAAAAATTAAGCTAGGGTGGGAATGGGTGGTGGAGGAGCTGCCCTACTACTTATCTTTGGACAGTTGCAGCCAGGCCTCACATACCCCCCCCCCCCCGACACCTGCCTTGCCGGCCTATTTCTTCTGCAGCCAGCAAGGCTTTCCTGAAGACCTCTGCAGCCAATAACAGAACTCCAGATCGATCTGGAGCTCTGTTATCGGCTGCAGAGCTCCTTCAGGAAAGACTTGCCTGCTGCAGAAGAAGTTCCTGAAGGCCTCTGACAGCGAAAAGGAGGTTGGGGGCGACGGATGCAAGTGAAGTGAGTCCTCCCGTCCCCCCCCCCCCCCCCCAAAAAAACCTGGTGCCTTTTTTGGTGGCAAAAAAAAGGACAGGGTCTTATTTTCAGGGAAACACATTATATATACTTATAGTATATATGTGTATATAATTGTTCATACTTGTATTTGTACTCCTTTATATAACGTGTGTCCACTAGCACCAGTGAATAATATTTTTAAATGAGCTTGTCTGTTGGAATCAGTGGATAAAGAAAGTCTGGGGACCAAATGAGGGAGGTCACCAGATCTTACCTTTGTGTAAACTCCCCCCTCCCCGGTTTAGAGCCTGAAGACATGAACAAGTTTAGTATTTATAGGTACTCCTTCACTTATAAACTATTCATTTACTGAAAGTTACAACAGCACTGAAAAAAGAAACTTGCAATTGGCCTTCAGGGTTATGATCGTTGCAGCATCCCCATGGCCACGGGATCAAAATTAGGTGCCTGGCAAATGGCATGTATTTCCAGTGTTTGCTGCATTTGGGGGGGGGGGGGCTGTCATGAGATCATCAGTTGTGATTTTTCCCAGTCGACATCTGACAAAGGCAATAGAGGAAGCTGGATTTGCTTCAAGACTGTGTGATTTGCTTAACAACTGCAGTTACTTAACAATCATTGCAAAAAAAATTTGTAAAATCGGACACGAGTCACTTAATAGCCATCTTGGCTTAGTAATAGAAAGTCTGGTCCCAATTAGTGCTGTAAGTTGAGGAGTACACTGTATTTGTTCAGTTATTACATTTCTATGTTGCCCATCTCACTATCAAGCGATTCTGAGTGGCTTACAATGTTATATATAACAGTATAAAACAATTGGAAAGTTAAAACATTAAAATTAATAACCAACAGGATAAAAAGACCAATATACAAACTGGGAACAGTTGGTTTACTAGCCACCTCCAGAAAGGGATATGCACATCAGGGTCCCAAGCCAGTTGGCAAAGGTTTTTAGGTCCTTTTGGAAAGTCAAGAAATGGGCAGATTTCACTTTGAGAGGCATGATATTCCAGAGGCGGGAGCCACAGCAGAAAAGGCTTTTCTGGGTAATAAACATTTCATGGTATATTTAATGGAACTTAATTTAGTGGAGACATTATTAAAGCTGACACCAATCACAGCATAGAAAAACTTTAAAAAATAGTGTAAGTTTGATAGAAGTGGTGAGACCTGGGCTGTAGAATTGCCAAGAGTTGGACATGACCGAATGGATAACATCTTCAATGTAGTGGATAAATTGGATGCAGTAGACAAAATTTGAAGTTTTGATGAAGTTGATTTAATAGATTTTGCTGATGTTCTGGGAAGTTTTATGGAAGATCGCTAGGATGAGTAAGCCAGTGGTCTATGTGACAGGATGGGGAAGATCAGGGACTCAATGAGGAAGGGGCTGGTTGCATACCTTTAATCTATTTCCTTCTAATTGTTGGGCTTTTAATGTAAGACTGGGCCATGCCAAAGAAGGCAAATTAGTATCTTGGTGGCTATGGGAAAGCAGCACTGGGAGAACTTATTATTCCTTCTGCAGCAGTTGTGGAATTGGAAAGAAGGGTATTAAAAGAAAAAAAGGCACTTTTCAGATTTTACAGGCCTTTAGATTTACTAAACACCCCTCCTTCCATTAAAATCAAGATTTTACCGTAGCATATAATATATAATTATCATATAAAAGTGTTCAGCAACATTTGCTTTTGCAAACTGCTTTTCAGGTGACTTCTGTATATACCCACTGGGATCAAATAATTCTATTGAGAAATTCCATAACTTAAACTTAGTTAGGAATTCATCTCTTAACTTTGTTACATTCTTCCTTATGCTTAAATGTGCATTTGTCATTGCTGTTCAGGTAGTGATGGCAGGGATGAACAATACTCTTTTCTGCACACCTTAACAAAAAACGAGCTACTTTAAACTTTGCGAGCTTTTTCTATATAGTAAAGATTCAAGCGGATAAAGGCATTGTCTCTTCCACAGTGCTATCTTCAAATGAGATTACATTTTAGAATAATATGTGTAATAAGCCTCCTAATGTAACATATTTACAGCATATTTTCTATCATTTACCTTGCTTTGGTTTTATGCTGGTTTATGAAATCAGAAACTGAGGGCAATGTTTTAAACCATCCTTCCCCAAATATGATATTCTCCAGATATTTTGGGTATATAGTTCCAAGAAGTGTTGATAGAGAGTGAGAAATCCAATCCTTGGCCGCTCTCCTATGGCATACCGCAGGACTCAGGACTCTCTTTACCAGAGTGGATAAAAATCGATTAAAAAATAAATTAAAAAAATACTGGATTTTTTTTAATTTAAATCAGATTTTTTAAAATCAAATTTATTTTAATAAAATGCTTTTGGAGTAAAAATCTTATCTAAAGATAGTTTTCTATTTAAGATACATTAATAATTTAACTTATTCAGCATGAAATGGAGCTTAGTTATGTACTATGAAGCTGTATATTCTGCAATATTGGGACTGTAGTTGAGTCAACAGCAGGTTAGGGGAGGAGCCTCTGTGGGACAGAGATGACAGTTGCTCTTTAAAAATTATGATTTAAATTGAGTTGATTTAAATCAAGCCTTTTTACTAGTGATTTAAATTCTGATTTAAATTGTGATCCACCCTGCTCTTTACTCCTGTTCAATATCTACAAAAAGCCACTGGGTGAGATTATTCATAAGCATGAGTTGAAATATCATCAATATGTTGATGATATGCAACTTCACGTATCCGCATGACCTGAGTGATGCTATGCTTTCCTAGTGCCTGGAGGCATTAGGGGCCTGGAAGGGGACAACAGACTACAACTGAACTCTGGCAAGACTGAGTGGTTTGGGGTGCACGATGGAACTTCAGGATCGGGGTCTTTGACATCTTTAATTCTAGACAGGGTTGCACCTTCCCTGTTCAGACCCACTTTGCGACTTGGGGGACTCGCAACTTTTTCTCGAAGGTCAGCTGGCAGTCATGCCTAGGAGAGCCGTAGCACAGCTTCAGTTAGTGCACCAGCTGCAGCCTTTCCTGGATCTTGTCAAGCACAGGAAATCAGGAGTCCAGGCAGTACAAATGAGTGTAGGTTTATTGTCTGCTAATGCCCTCTATAAGAATCTGAACTACTAATGGTCAAAGCAAATTGGCAGTAGATAAGATATGGCAGGCCCATGAGGTGGATTTGGCCTGCGAGGTGTTTAACTCTGGCTTGCAGGGCTTCCCTGTAAACAGTGAAGGACCGGCCCACGGTGCCTCTGCCAGCAAAAATGGAGTTCAGGAGGGCCACACACAGCCCTCCCAAGCTCCATTTTTGCTGGCAGAGGGCTGCAGAAGGCTGTCGCAGCCGAAAATGGAGCATGCTGCCCCCTTGAGCTGTGTTTTCTCTGGCAGAGGACTGCAGGAGGCTGTTGCAACATAAAACGGACATTGAGGTGGCCATGCCCACCCCAGCCTCCAAGGTCAAACACAACCCTGATGTGGCCCTCAGTGATCACGTTTGACACCCCTGGTCTATGGAATTCCAGGTGGGCTGATTTTAGATTTCTTATGGATGAGAAGGGAGACTGGTGCTACATTTGACTTTTCCCTTGAGCTCAGCCTGGTCATTTATAGACTCCCTGCATTTGGTCATTCTTGTCTGAACTACTGCAATGCGCGTTACATGGAGCCACCCTTGAAATGCCTTTGGAAGTTTCAGCTGGGACAAGGTGTGGCATCAGAAGCAGTCTTTGGGGCCACGGAATGATCCATGTTACACCACCGTTTCATGAGCTGCATTGGCTGCTAGTTTGCTTCTGGATGCAGCTCAAGATTTTGGCTATGACCTTTAAAGCCTTGTATGACATGGGTTCTGTTCTGACCCAACCGAGTTCCCAGATAGCAAACACAGACAAAGGTAGCAGCCCCTACTTTTCAAGGTTTAATCACGAATTCTATTCCTTTACAGATAAAAGGCTGCTTTCCAACAATTAGCTCCGACAAGAAAGAGCCTTGCCAAGTTGTTTGTCAAGGCTGCCAAAAACCCAGAGATAAGAACTAATTTACCAGATTCTCCAAACACAACTAAGATTTGCACCAGTTGAGCTTCAGAGCTTCTTTACTATATGCAAAGAACGCTCTTCCAAACCTGGCTTTTATCCTCTTGAGGGAGGGGCCATTACCTTGCAGCCTTACTCCCGAGTCGCCTGTGCTGCTGTAATTATTATTTCCTCCGAGACTTGGCACAGGCTCCTCGGGAACCTCCTCATCACTGCTGCCAGCCCCCACAATCTCTGAAGGCAGCAGTCC